AAAAAGTTTTATGCAATAAAACAATGTTAGCACTCACCTTACCTTTTCTAATTGTTACTTTCGTGTATTTTAAGTTTATTTTTTTATACTTAGAAGAATGAAATTTTGCAAACTTAGCTCACATAGTATACTTTTTTTTACATATAACTTCGTCGCATAAATTGAGTATTAAAGCTGTGGGATTCAAAGGGATTCAAACAATATTCTTAAAATACAGCACGAAAGTTTCAAGTTTGCTTAGTACACATAAGCCTGGTTTAAAAAGTATTGTAACACGTATAAATAAATTTTTTATTCAATTGATAATTTGTGTAACGATCTACGTTCTCCCCTGGAGATTTTGACCGACTCCCGTATCACTATACCAAAATTTTACGTACAAAAATCTTTATTGGTTTTCATAGACTAAATTTGGTTTTTTGTGTTTCTTTTGCGTTACTCTTGATCTTGAATAGTGATGCAGTAGAAACATCCCAGTGATGTCCAATGAAGTTACGGGATCACTAATCTTGAAGCTTGATTTGATGATCTTGGCGATTATATCCAGTTATAGTTTATCACATTAAATGATATAATAGACACTCGCGACTTTTCACGTAGTAAATGTATATTACGTAATATTACATTATTTTTATATTGTAAAGATTTCTAAATAAGGTACTGTATAATACAATGAACTTGAAACGTAAGTTTAGAGTGTAACATTTCGAAAATTCTTTGTTCACAAAATACCCGATGCATTACTGTATTGTTATTATTTGCTTATCTTTATAAACATTCTTCGTCAAGTGTTCGGTGCATGACATTAAACAATAATACTGAAATTCAAATTCTTTTTGCTTTTTTTTTTGTTAAAACTTGATGCAATTCTTTCAAGTACTTGTATAAAGTAGTTACAAACAAAAAACGTATGCAAGTTAGCAATAAACAAAAGCTTTATATAATCACATATAGAAATCTGATGCAAACTAAAAAAGACAACAAGGTTCTTTTTTCAGAGGTCAAGTACATGAGTTTCAGTAGTGCGCATTTTTGCGAATTCTCGGATACGTATTAAAATGTTCAAACATAAGATTTAATTATATTTATTATATATAATTCAATTAAAAATATCTACAAAATTATTATTACGTATTATACATATGATGAAATTTTTTTTTGATTATGCAGGTTAAGTATTTTTTTTTAGAAAAAACCAGGTCTAGGTGGTAATGGTTTATTAATATTAGTAAACTTTTTTTTTAATTTTGATTTTGAAGGATTTTGCTGTGGTATTGCAGGAAATAAGAATACATCATCATCAAATTCATTTGCTTCACTATACCGAAAATAATAAATGTCATCATCTGGATTCATATTCTTTCTTGTACGTTGATTTTCACGTGATATAGAATTATTATCATTTCGAAATATTGATTGTAATATCGAGCGTGTTGATTTTTTGCTACTTCGACTGTTATAACTTTCGGACCGACTTATGGGTTGAATGATTTGTAGTCTGCTGTTATAACTTTCGGATCGACTGATAGGTTGAATGACTTGTAATCTGCTGTTAGAACTTTCGGACCAACTGCTAGGTTGAATGACTTTTAATCTGCTGTTAGAACCTTCAGACCGACTGTTAGGTTGGATGACTTGTAATTTGCTATTATCATAATTATTGTTATTGCCATTCGGATGACCACCATTGGAGCTGGTATGTTTACTACTTTGTTGACTATTTCCTAGAGATCTTTGTTTTAAATAATCATCTAGACTCATCGTAGTGTAATTATTAAAAAAAGTTGTCAAGGAGGGTCCAAAGTCTGAAGTCATTATTGGAGTTGGTGGTGAAATATGAATTCCAGTGAACGAATTATTTCGTATATTCCGATCACGTGAAGCTGAAGGTATTGGAGATTCTGGCATATTATTTATTATGAACGAATCATTATTTCGAATAATTTGTGGTGTTGAGACTTTGACGTTTAGAGGAGTTATCAAAGAACTTTTTTTGTTGTTGTTGCCTGTGATTATAAGGCGTCTAGCACATAATGATGTGAGAATTAAAGCAGGAGTAACGTTTATGAAGCGGTCAAAAAATTTTTCGGAAGATAAGATAAATATTACATTAATCGTCTGAAATGTTGATATTAAGCCTAAATAAAGTATTCCCTGTAATAATAAATATCATTTAGTGTATAATATTCATTATATATAATATTGATTTTACATAAAATTTGGAAAAGTATTGACTTACATCTTCAAATAAAATTTGTCGCCATTTTTGTCTTATTAGAATTTTTCCACCTAGCGAATTCCACTTCATATAAATTTTGGTTGCAATTAAGCCAAATATTATCCAACAAAAAATTGCCATCATAATAAATCCTACAACAACGAATTGTTCTGGTTGTTGTCCTTTTTGTAAATAACAATTACCATTATTGCCCTCGACAAAATTACCAAATCCAAAGATATTCGCCACATGTAAAATAGATGTTGTACCAGCAAACAAAAATACGAATACGAGCAGAAAAGATGATTCCTGATAGAATGTGCGTAGACATGAAAGTAATATTAGGCATTGAAAAATTATGCCGAGTGCATAGTAACTCAAAGAGAGGAGTGATAAAGAGCCACAGGTCATTGATGTTTGTTCGACAAAGTAGAGAAATAATAAGATCACTATACAGTATGCTAGAGTATTTACACTTTATTATTGTTTAAATAATGTCACGGCATTAGTGATGTAGATTCATCATATATAATAAATCTGAGAAAGATTTTTTTTTTATACTTTTTT